TCCAGATGTGAAGCTTACAGTGGTATGTGATGGTGTACAGCTGCGCTACTCTGTTATTTACAACACTGTCAGGATTCCCACATAAAAATACTCCAGCTTATTGTGGAAAACCAGAGGTGGTTGACCAGGCAACCTGTAGCCATTAGGACCTGTGACAGTCCAAAAAACACTGCCATAAGGATTCAACCTGTGTTTTGACATCCCCTTTTAGATGAAAAACCTGTGTATAAGCAGCTCCTGCATTTCCTTTTATGACTGTAGCTAAAAGTGAGAGTGTTTTTCTGCTGAAGATGGCCATAGCCTCTGAATAAGAGAACGTGCAGTTGTATATGCTGTTTTGTCTTGGGCTTGAGGAAATTTAGCGCTCTTCCTGTTTTTCATGGGTTTCTGGGGTTTTTATGACTTGACAAAGACAAAATTGGTATGAGCAATGGAAGGATAACTTCTTAAACTGCATGTTGAGGACTTATTTATAGGAGGCTTTATTATTTATATTATAAAATATAATTGGTGCAAGCTTTTATTTACTCTGTGAGCTACAGTACATTTAATTAAAACATTATTTAACCATTACCAACAATAAAGCTTCTGGTTATCAATGGCTCGTAACAATTCTTATTGTAATAGTTATTTTCACTTTGCCTGTCAAGAATTTCTTTGTGCTATTAATTCTGGGTGGCCAGCTGAGGTAATGAGGATACACCCTTGGGGTCCATAATGCATTATTTAACAGCGTTTCTAGCATGTACAGTTCAGTACAGAGAATTTAGAGGCAATCCAGCTGAGATCCCAGGGATCTCTTTACCAGCTACAAAAATTTTCTGAGATGAAAGTATTTGATATTTTATTTGACTACAGCAACATCTGACTACTTCATTAAATGATTAGCCTGCCTGTCATGAGTTCTTTTTGTCATTTTTGCATTGCGTTTTGTGTCTTGTTTAATGTCGTGTTTTTGTACGTCACCAGAGACTTTACTCCCACCTTTGGGTGTTTTTTATTTTGTTTTTTATTATCACATCATTTCCTGGCATGCCTGCATCTCACAAACTCAATGATAGCATCTCTCTTCACACAGGAGTCTGAGCTGCCAAAGGATCACTCTGCACAAGAACCTCTTCTGCTCGTATGTGCTCAATTCAGCCCTCACCATCATCTACCTCGTAGCAGTGGTCAATAATCCTGAAGTGGTGGGCAGAAACCCGGTGAGTACGTCCTCTGTTGAATATTTACCACCAGGAGGACCACAAGTGTTACTGTCCGCACTGCCATATGGAATGGAAACACAACATATCTGTTTTTTTAAGTGAAACAAGACTAGTCACAGTCATGCTAGCTGCTAAGATGCTCATAATATAATTGCTAACATGCTGATGTTTAGTGGGTTTTAACTTTGTTTACTGTGTTCACCATCTTAGGTTTGCATTTGAGTATGCTAACATTCGCTTATTAGCACAAAACACAATTACAGCTAAGTGTGAGGTGAATGTCATTAATTTTGCAGGTATTTGGCCAATGGTAAATCAAAATGTGGAACAAATTAAAATTTTGACCTGATAATGGCACTAGAGGAAAAGTTATTGTATCAAAAGTACTACATTTAATTTAATTTAAACATGACTGACTTTACAAAATTTTATAGTCCAGAATTTGTCAGAAATTTTAGTCTGGTGGAGCCAAATCCTAGCATGGCTAAAAAGTGTCTGTTCTGTTCCGAAATGAGAAGCAAATACATTCATAATTTATGCTAAGTCAAATAAAAAAAAGCAAGAAATAACATTTTCTATGAACTTTTTAAAAATAATTTGCGAGGGAGCTAAATTTAAATGGAGTTGCTCATAATTTTTTTTTAAAGTTGCACAAGACTTTTTAAAAATCCTAATTAGTATTTCATCTCATTGAGCCATATGTTGGCAGTGTTACACAGTCAACTGACAGTTTTTGTTCTCTTCCACATTCTCCTGTCAGAGCTTTCACTGAATGCATTATGTGAATTCTTTGAAACCCTGAGGTCTGCTTTGGTAGAGATGATAAACCTGTCTGGTAGGAATGCCTTACTATCAGGCCTGAACATAAATTTGTGTGTTACTTTTCAAGAACCACTCCTTTTTGGAAATAAAAATAATGAATGCCTATTAACTCAGTGCCTGGTGCGTCTTAAAAGTTGTTGCAGTTCTTCCAACTCCAAAACAAAAAAGATTTATCATATTTTTCCTTTTATGTAGAACTGTTTACATTTAAACACACTCAGGCAAGTCCAAGTTAATGAAAAACTGTCAGAATATTGCTTGCTACTAAAAAAATCCAAATTCTTCATCCTCTGAAAATGTTAATGTGCAAAAACTAAATTAGAAAAGAGAACTTCAGATGATCAAAGTGCAATACAAAAACAAGAGATAGGATTGTGGAAGTTGGCTCACAGTGCTTACAATCCAATTAGCCTCAGCCTGCTTTCAGCTAGAGTATCTCTGGCCCAACAAAGTACTAGAAACATCCAGGAGACAGTGGAGACTTCAGCTGGCCTTGGGTTTGATTCAGCATCCTGCTGCTGCTGCATTTCATGCATTCACCAAATCTCTCTGGCTCATCCTGACTGCCGTCTTTAATCACATCCCGTCTCTGAACGTATCCAAGAAAGCAGCCAGAAATGACAGCCATCATCATCAGTGTGAGGAAATATATATTTTTGCACAATGGCTCGCTTTCAAGTCTCTCGTCCTCGCCATATGTTAAGAAGGTTTGTGTTGAATCTGTTACTTTCTGCCATAGAACTGTCAAGTTGTGCTAACTCGACGCTACATGTCAAAACACAATTTGTCACGTGGCCCTGCTTTTCAAGGGGGAGTAGCAAAGTAATCACAAGCACCAGTGGTTGGGGTGTCTGTTGGGAAACATTTTAGAAATTTACCGCTGCCATAGTGAGACTTATGAGCCTGTTTTCTGAACTGGTGATTTAGGAACGGTGGATCATGGTGAAGATTCGCTCTCACAGAGAAAACATTATTCTCTCTGGTGTGGTGATGCAGAGTCTGGTTTGGCCTGCCAACAGTGTGGGGGAGTGAATCCCCAAAGCTTATGTCAAACCAGGGAGGAGGCTGAAAACATGAGAAACATCTACATGATCTATAGCAGCTTGATTTGTAAACCAGACCATTGTCGGTAACTTTACACAAACCTTGGTTAGATGCAATGCAAAACAGTTGTGAATGAGTGAAAAGTGAGTCACCTATCTCATAATGATACAAGTCCATGTCTGTAATAGTGGAGATTGCTCAAGTGGAAAGGGAATGTAGGAAAGTGAGGAGAGACATATGGCTAAAAGTTTAAAAGTGAATGACTGTTGTGTGTTTTGAGCTAAGAAGACCCCTGACAGCAGCAGTTAATAGCAATGCCAGCATCTTTGAATTATATTGTGGCGGCAAGCATGCTCTTTTAACACAGGACGGCGAACCAGAAACCTTGATGTGGATATTTGAAAAAAATATTTTCATGCAAAGGTTTGTTCTGGTTATGTTCTCCATGTACGGTATGTGTTTCAGTGAAAGCAATAAATTCATTGGTGTTTTTTTCAGAATACAAATCAATTGCATTTTTCTGTTTTGAAAGGAGAAACAACGTATGTTCCTGTATAAGAATCCAATTCAGAATTTTTATTTTTGATTGCATTGTCAACATGAGTTTTGTAGGACTTTTTTGTAGGATTTGTTAACAAAATTCCTCTTAAGTAATGTTAATGCTGTACTGTATCGATTAGATTTCTATTGAGAGCCTGGATCAGAGTAGGAACATTAAGAGTTTGTGTGCTTGTGATGTGCCAACATTGTGTCTTTTGGGGGTTTAGCACGATTAACAAGAGAGGAAATGAATAAAAAGTCTGGTTTGGGGTATCGTCAACATAAAAAAGGACAATGTACAGTTGGCACTCTATACATATTATTTATATATAGAGTAAATGTCAGGGGGCCTGATATTGAGCCTTGTGGGACACCTTTATCAACTGTTTGGGAACTTGATTTGAAACCACCTGCAACAACAACAACCAGTAGTAAGCAGAATCAGCAAAACATGAAAAAAGCTTATTTAACTAAATGTTTTTTGTAAAACTATACAGTATCATCTTGTGCTTTATAGTATAATATTGTACTTGTTGAGATGTACCACATACTGATGGGAAACATGTATGTATTGTCACAATTTGATACCCATAAGTTTCTAGATTCCAAATTTGGTTTTACCATTTGCAGCCATCTTGGCTTTTATTTGAGCCAATAATTTGGGCACAGGGGAAGGAAGCCATCTGAGTTGGGACAAGCAAGCAGCAGCCAACACAGCTGACGTGATTGGCTAAGGAGCTTGCCGATTAAGCAAACGTCCAAAAACACGTCTCCTTAACACATTTCCCAAGAAATGAAACAATGAGTCTCAAAGTTACCAAAGGCATGCATAAGAAAATGTGAAATTAACTTGCTATTAACTTTTGTGGAAGAAAAATTATTTTTAAGAGTGAATTTGGGATTTTCAGAAAATACGCCAGAACAATCAGGTTCATTAGAACTTGTGTGTAGCAATCATTAACAGAATTACATCTTATGCCGCATCCATAAGTGTCTTGATAATTATAGCATCAGTAGACTGTGCTTAGATACAGTAAGATTGGCATAACGATATGTCATGTCATCAAAGTCATCTCTTTCAAGAAATTACAGTAATGATTCAATCAAAGGGACATAATGTGACATGTTGTCATATTGTCATGTTGTCGTACTATGCTGAATGCATGAATAGAAAACTGCATAGCACTATATAAGGTACAAATATACATTCTGTCTGTCTGCAAGGAGTAATACTGGCTACTGATTTTTTGTGGAAAACAAACTATAACATATTTTTTGGATGTGTCCAGCTGAGATGATGTCAGGAGTGTGTAAATTAAATTGTGGTAATAGATATATTTTAATAAAGAAAGTCAAAAACGTAACATAATAGATATTCCTGTTTTGTCTCTCTCTGCAGGTTGGCTGTAAAGTGTTGCACTTCTTCCACATGTACATGCTGGGCTGCAATTATTTTTGGATGCTCTGTGAAGGCATCTACCTGCACACGCTTATCGTGGTGGCTGTGTTTGCAGAGGAGCAGCATCTGCACTGGTACTACCTCCTGGGCTGGGGTGAGTGTGTCTACATTTGATTTGAACACTATTTGCGGTGTTTTTCCTCTTTTAGTATATCTGTAAAGACTTATTTTTCTATGCCCTCACTGGACAATGGACATTGTCACAGCTTGAAAACTCATCAGAAAGCAGTACAATAAGATGAGACAGAATCTAGCAACCACAATTTACTCGTATCCACCCGATCTTCGTACAGTATGTAACCCTGGACATGCTGACAGCTTTATTGGCAGTCCTATCGCTTATTGCTTAATGCTGTCCTGTTTATCACCTCGTTCAAAAAAGGAATAATGGGTGCAGTCTGTCAAACAAGTAAGCGATGGAGCTAAATGGATGGTCATTATTAAACATGAGGCCTGTTTTTACCGTGTGTGTGTGTGTGTGTGCGCGCGCGTGTGTGTGTGTGTGTGTGTGTGTGTGTTTAGGACGGCCAGTTAGTCAGGTCCATCTGTGACCAATATGGTGCAGGGTCTCAATGGTGACGGAAAATGGACCTGGATACATGGATTAATGTGTTTATATCCACACGAAAAGTAAAAAGCAGACTGAGCCCAGCCTCTAGTGGGTATTTCAATTTCAAATTAGACAGGATTGTTACAAGAAATTAAACATGCAGTGTTGTTTTTAGGGTTGGAGCAATAAAATTACAATAGGAAAGTTTGTGGAATGAGAATCAGCTTTTCCAAAAATATATGCAGAGATTTGCAAAGTAAAAATGTATTTGATGAGGAGGTCTAAGACCAACAAAACAACTGACCAAGCTAACCACACTTTTACTGTTGCACAAAAGACAAATGAATTTCACTAAACTCACTCAAGACCTCATATGGCCACCATCTTTTTGCTTTCCAAGGCTTTCCTCTAGTGCCCGCATCCATCCACGCCGTGGCAAGGAAAACGTACTTCGATGACAAGTGAGTAATGTTCCAGAAACTTCTGCAAATAAACAGGAGATGTTTACATACGTGCTCGACTGTGTGCAGCAGTGAGCGAGAGTGTGCATGTTTTTGTATGTGTGTGACTATGTGTATTTTGGGCAGCAGACAGCACTGACTGATATGTTTTTCCTTCTGTAGCTGTTGGATGAGTGTGGAAACCCATCTGCTCTATGCAGTCCATGGTCCTATCGTGGCTGCTCTTCTTGTAAGTCTGCTAATCCACTGTTTCAAGACAGTAAAAAAGAAATGCTTGGATCTAAAAGTAAAAAAAAAAAAGATAATTGGTTTGTTATTTTGGTAGCAGTTTTGGCTCTTAAAATGTAAAAGATGAGAAGAAAAGAAAAATGGCTACTTTATTTGTTTTATATATTTTTTTTACTTTCTGCAGGTGAACCTCTTCTTTTTACTAAATATTATAAGAGTGCTGGTGACCAAGTTGAGAGACACACACCGGGCCGAGTCCAACATGTACATGAAGGCAGTGAGAGCCACGCTGATCCTGGTGCCCCTACTGGGAATACAGTTTGTCATTTTCCCCTGGAGGCCAGAAAACAGGCTAGCTGGGGAGGTCTACGAGTACATCATGCACATACTCATGCACTACCAGGTAGGCACTGACCTGACAGCAAGGCACTGAATTTACTGAAATGTCTATTTTTGTAACAGGTAGGAGTTCAATTCAAGGGTAATTCAAAAGTGAACTGAGAAGCAAAAAAGTGCTGCTTCACTGCTCCTGTGGGTCGAAGTGTTCTGCACCTCTGGTTGATTAAAGAGAAAAGTATCTACGTATGCATTGTACTCAATGGACCTTTAATACTGAAAATTATACTTAATAGCAATGTTTATGTTTTTGTCCCAAATTGTCAGTATGCATGCATGATGATGATGATCCCGAACACAGCCCGTATATGCCAATGCCCACAGATCAGACTCAAGATTTAGACGTTTGGCATGCTTGAAAGTTTCCATACAAATAAACCTTGTTTTCAGCCTTGTGGTTATTGTGATTGATTGATGTCATTCACTGCTGATCTACCCTTTAAAGAACCAGTTAGGCACTCCATTTACTTTACTTGACCACCAGTTAGGCACTTAATTAAACAACAGGCAGGCAGGCCATGGAATTTCACTTCATTCACTTACCAGTTAGGCATTATGTTGCGCCATCAGATACTCTCTGTTCTGCACTTTTCTTTTCAAAAAGCACTCTAAATGATTGTGAAGTTGCTGTCCTACCTCGCTGCAAAAAAGGTGATAATTAAATTCCATTGCTTTAAAAGAGCTAATTATGTCTACATGTTTTGCTTTTTCAGGGATTACTGGTGGCAACAATATTCTGCTTCTTCAACGGAGAGGTAAGCACTGTTCATGTCTTTACACTTTAGCAGTTTGGTTTCTCTACAGTACTACACAATGTTGTGTAGAGTTAAAGGATGACTTCAACATCCGTCATGTCTGAAGGCTAAATATGAAACAAGTGCAAAGAGACAGTTATTTTAGCTTAGCTGTGCCCAAAGGTATAAATTTCTAACAGCACCTCTAAACCCCACTAATTAACAACTTTGAATAGAGACAGGCTAGCTTCTTCCCCTGTGGTCAGTCTTTATGCTGAGCTAAACTTACCATCTCCTGGCTTTACATGTAACAGACAGTCATGAGAGTGGGATAAATGCTCTCGTGGAACTGTCAGCAATAAAACAAGTGTGTAATTCCCAAAATGTTGAACTATGCCTTTAAGAATATTATTTGCAGGAAAAGTAAAATTTTTGATGTGACAAAATAACACTGGCCTTTTAGGCAAAGGTATGAGACTCTATCAGGCAAAATGTTTTAATTTATGTTTTTCACAGGTCAGATCTCTTACATCTTACATGTGTGCCTGACAAGATACCCAAGCACAGACTCAAAGTTGGGTTTTGGCATTGACTACTTAAGTAAAATAGTTGTAACATCTACATCTGTCATTAGTCCAGTTGTAACAGGTTGTAAAGCATTGTGCTGTTTGTCTCTGCTGAGACCAATCTAGTGCTGTGACAGTGAAAGCAGGAGGGTCAAGTCAGGTGAAGTGTAAGACAGTTTATAAATGTGTGTTTTCCAAGACCAGCTGGAAATTGACTCTCCTTTCAAGTCCTACTGTCAGGCTTTTTAAGTCTGTCTGCAGCTGTCTCACTGAGAGCATCCTTAACTTGGTTCAAACATTTCTCCGAACGAATAAGGTAGATTTCCATTAAAGCCCAGATCTGGGGTTTATGATGACGTTTTTGCCTCCGCAGATTCACTGTGTGGTAGATACTTTCAAGCTCAAAGCACCAATGATACGTAGTAAGGTCAAATTAGGCATTTTTTTGGGGTTGTTAAACTCACTGGTGATGTAAATGCCTCGGTAATTGCATCAGGTAATTACAAATAAACATGTGTATATGCTTAAAACTAACAGACCTTTGTAAAATATAGCAAATAAAAAGGGAAATTATCTGTTAAAAAGAGACAGTGACGCTGAGATTTTTCCTTGAGATGAGTTGCCAAGAAAACAGGGCACAGATGCAAAAAACCCCGACAGAGCAACATATTTAAATATTCAGCGTGAAGTTTCTGTAACACAGCAACTAGCAACCTACTGTGGAGTTGCATTTTATACAAGCAGCCTAATAAATTGATCAGGTATTAGCGCATAAATGAGAAGCCAGAACGCAACAGCATCTTCTCAAACGATGTAAATAATACATGCAGTAGAAGAAGCGAGTGTAGAGCATGTCTAAAGGGCGAGGCCACTTTCTGGGTGATGCAGGGTCAATGAGCACACAAACTGTCACAAGGGAACGAGAGGGTTTGTTTGCTTCACCCACATAATGACCAATTCAGCTCCCATAATCAGGACACGGGTTTCTGGGGCTGGTTTCAATTCAGTTTTTTGATTTCAAGGCCAAACTGCACAGACCTGCCTTGTTTCTTCAATGGCTGCATTGTGAAGTTAGGTCAGTGACACAAACAGCTTTCATGCTGTATTTGTGACATGAAGCAAGACGTTCTACATGGAAGCTGTAAGCCCTGGCTGGTCTTTTGTCTCATTATAACAATTAGTGTCATAATTTACATCATTAGATCATTGTGTGTTAATACACCCACAGTAATTAGAGTAGCATTAGGGTGTTACAGAATCCAACGATTAACACGCACTGCTAGAGGACTGTTGCTCTGCTTTCCTTTTTTAGGAACACACTCTGGTTTTTGTTTGGTCAGTCAATCAACATGTTGAAGTAATTAGAAAGAAAATGAGTCAGTGACATTTTTGATTAATAAATTCATTGGAATAAATTAATTAATTATTGATTGTGGACATGTGTCAAACTTTTCTTTGTTTGATATCACTTCTTCTTCTTCACGTGTCTTTGGACTGTTGGTTGGACAAAACAAGCTATTTGAAGATGTGACCTTGGGCTCCTGGAAATTGTGACATTTTATAACTTCTTACAGACAAAACAAATAACAGATTCATCCTAAAGCCCCACATCCATCATCAACATGCTGGCTACTACTGTAAGCTGGGCCGGATTTACCAACAAGGGGTCCTTGGTGCAAAAATTTGCTATGGACCATAAGGAATGTAAGTGTATCAGATGTGAGAATAGAAGGGGTATAAATTAGAATATTAAAATCTTTTTAAACATTTGTCTATGAATAATGCATCCTAAAGTTACATTTCTTTAGTTATTGAATGCTCAGCAGGAAGCCATGAGGAGTTGCTTTCCTTTTGTTCATCTTCTCTTTTTTTTGGTAATGTAGGTGAACTGAGGGAGTGTCAAATTTGGAGCATTGCGTTCTCCTCGGGATTTAGGCTTCTGGAGGCGAAAAAGTTTGAGCTTGTTGTTGTCATTGTGAAGTTTACCAAACTTCTGAAAGGGTAACCATCTTACAGGAGAATTTGAGTTTTTGAAAACATTTTCAGTTTGTCCCATATTTAAGATATTTCTTTATTTTCTGATTTGGAAGTTTAAAGTTGAGAGTTTTAATTAATTGCTTGATATAACACCATAACCACTGATCATATTAGGGACTAAGTAGAGGGATTATGAAGGGTGACTTACTCAGTATGTCATCAGCATAATAATAGAGTTTGTGATGGTACAATATGGAATTGGTTTATGTGCTTATAAATGTGATTACTGGGTGAAATGGTCTGACCAAGATAATATTATGATTGTGGATGTCCCCAGTGAGTTGCTCTTTGGCAGAATCAAAATGGTTGCATGTAAATCTGTTGTGTAATTATTTGGGTTGTAGGATATTCTCATCAGTTTATTTCTGCAGAGCAGTGAAGAGAAAGAAGCAGCATACTCTTTTTTTGTTTGATTTTGTTGCTGACTGATAGAGTGGCATTTCAGTCAACATGCAATAGAGAAAAGTAACAATCATGTACCCTTTTTGGATAATCGTGGTGGGAGCTGCGCAAAATGTTGCACATTCCTCAAACAGTCGGCTGCAGATAAAATGTAAATATTTGTCCTGACATCTCTGAATGGCCGTGAACAGAAGCCAGTGCAATTCAGTTCAATTCAATTAAATTTAGATGTCTTTATTAATCCCACAACAGAGGAATTCACAATGTCACAGCAGCAAAGAATTTAAAAAAAAGTACAAGCAAGACACTCTAAATATAAACAATCAAATAATAAATATAAGTAAAGAAATAAATAGTAAACAGTTGTATCTACGGTCATATTATTGCCCAGTTTATCAGTCCTGGTGCTTGTGTGTTCTGTCCAATGGCTGAGGGGAAGGTCCTCGTCCACCCTATGAGCAGTGTAGATGACAGATGTAGGGTAGAATGAATATGAATTACATGATTGTTGAAACGTTTAACATACAGCTCAGTACAGATTACATCTTTCACATTTCAGGAAATATGACTTGGGTGTTTACATGTCGTAACTGCCATCTGTGAATGTGATTGAAATTTGAGTGATCCACATATGCTACAGCAATCACGCTCGCATCAGTATAGATCACCGTCTGTTGGATTATTGTTGTCACGAGACGGTGCTTACTCTGGCTCTGCTTTGCTTGCATATTGAAATTTGGACGTTTGGTGGAATAATCTTGTGGTCAAAGTGCAACAGTGAAGCAAACCAGAAAAAAAAGTTTAGAGAAATGTTTGCAATGTGTAACTTTGACAGTATTTGCACTTAGATGACAAAGGCAATTAAAATACCACTTTTAGATACCCTGGTAACCATAACCACGCTTGATCCCCACATTAGGGCCAAAGCATTACCTTCAAAAAACAATGTCCAAGATTTTGACCATGATAGTGGACCATCTCTTTTACATGTGTGTTTGTGTGTCGTCCAGGTGCAGGCAGCTCTAAAGAGACAGTGGATGCAGTATAAAACCCAGTGGGGTCAGAGACGAAAGGACCACTGCTCAATGCGCTCCACGTCCTACACAGCCACCTCCATCACCGAGGTACCCGCCTTCATGTACCACCATGACTGTAACACCGAACACTTGAACGGGCGCCACACAGAGGACTCTGAACTGGTGGCATTAAAATCAGGAGAGACATACGCTTGAGCCACTGACTCACACCGAGGAGAAAGAGGTGGGACCAGCCGAAGAACAGTTAGAAAGGAAAATGAATCCGGTTTGCCGGATCTCAGTGATTAAATCTCAGAGGCTGGGTGCTTCAGCCCAGGACGATAGTACGGGTCTGGGAGTAAAGGAGCTCATTAGGACAGAGATGGGCAAGCTACAAGGCTGACATTCATTTATTTTACGTTGCTGTTGCAGCTGCTTTTTGAGAAATTTGATGTCAAGAACTTGTGACATGAGACAAGAGCTGCTTTTGACACATGTCACTTCCTAAAGCTGCTAAACTGCAAGCGCGCGCTCACTGATTGAGATGTGGAGACAGAAATAACTGTGACGGCGACGACAGCGAGGGAGGCAATGTTTTCTGTATGAGATAATGCTGCTGGATATGACAGTGATGGTGATATTGGTTCTGATTGACATGAGGTGGAGGTGAACGATGATTCTGATGGTGTCATGATGGTGATTTTTAAGGTAAAGTAGAAAAACCAATCCTTCCTCACCTATACCAAAGGGTAGGCTACTGTATGTTGGTCACAGCTAGGAAGGGGCGCATCGCGTCCAGACACAAAAACACACACACACACACATGCACACACAAATTTCACAAACCTGATCATATGTGCCATGATAGAGGTCAACGTTCAAAGAACCTCTGTGCTTGAAGCTCTGGAATTGTGTACATAATGTATGTTCACCATGTTTCATTAAAAAAAAGGTGTTCAAATGTTTTAAAAGGATTTTATTTTTGTTTTCTATTAATATTTTATTCTTGCCAATTCCTAGGTACGTGCTAAGTGTGTGTCCTGTGATGCTGCACTCCTGACTGCTTTGTTGTTTTTGCAGTTGCTGTATTTGTGCCGATGCCGAACGTTACAGGGCTGAGAAGCAAAAAGAAGCTAAATACACAAAATATATATGAATTTAAAAAACAACTTTATATTGAGGTTAAACAGCCACATGAGTTGTTTCAGTTGTGCCAATGATTCTGACAAACAGGCAGCTTCTCGGAAGCGAGGAAGCTGCACTGTCTGATTTTATTCACAATCATCCTTTGTTGTGCTCATGGTGCCTTTTATCTATCTTATGTTTTGTTTTGTTTTTTGAAAAAGTAATATTCTGTCCTCATGCATATTTATTCATGAATTTTGTAGCATTTTGTATGAATGAGCATCCAGGGCAAAGGAAAGACTCTCTAAAGATGAAATGATGAGAGGATCCCATTTATTCTGTATGCAGAGTCTTAAAGGCATGTTCACAATCTTGCGCCGACAACAAATAATCTACTCTTTGTCCTAAATACATTTAGATTACTTTTGTGGTTTTATTGTTACTTTGTCATAACTGTGACATAAGAATGTGGAGGATGAAAGTTAAAAGTCTTGATGGCCACAGTGCATTTAAGTGTGAATCCAAACAAGAGCACATTGAATTTGCTGACATTTTGGATACACTCTGTGTCTTGCATTTATCTTTAAAAGTTACTTAGATGTTCAATAAGCTTCTAAACTTCTCATCTGATAAACAACATTTAAATTCAGCCAGGGAAAAACATTTATTATCCTAGAGCGTGTAGCCAATGGCCAATAAGCCTGTAGCTGCATCAGACTGCTGTGATTTGTTTGGTGACCACTTAACAGGAATCCCATCCATGTTGACGTGACAGGGGAAGAGGTCAGAGAACTAATATCTAGAAAGATAAGGCTGGGGATACTCTGCATTTCTGTTATTGTTAACAAATTCCATGAAAAGACAAAACCAACAATGCATCTTTCAATGCTTTCCAACTTTACTTCCTGTCTCAGAATCAAGCAGAGTCATTCCCAATCTTTAAAAACAGGTTAAAAAAATATATAGCTACTTTTTGTTTTGGAAAAGGCCAATTTTCTAAAACATCTGGCCGCTGTAGATTTCAGAAACTCTTACTCAAACAGGAGTAAATAGTACATTTATTGGGGACTATTTTCAGCTGTGCATTAATACACATGTGGTGCTCTAGTGAGTATTTACAGCAGCAGGGCAGTGTGTGTGACTCAAAATAAATTACAGCGTCTGTGTGTTCATCATCGTGAAAGAACGTGTCACCCAGTACAATGGTGTGGCTCAGAGCTCTATGGCACAGAGAAATAAGATATATCAGGATTTGGGTACACACACTATACTTACTGGTCTTTCTGTGGGATTTCCTGACAAAAATAAAAATACAGAATATTAACAGACTTTTAGAATAATTTCATACAGATTTTCTGTCTACATGGGTGCTACGGTGTCAATATCCAGTGAATGTGATATTTTCTAGGTTTTCTTGTCATTGTCAACTGGAACAGTTTTTAACAAGATTCATGTGAGAGATATGAGACATGACATGAGACAGAATTATAATGAAATACAGTTTGAAATGTATTTCCACCTAGAATGTGAAGCTAAGACAAAACGTGCCATCTAGTCACACAGAATAACGATCAGAAGTTGATTGGAAAACACAAGTTTAAATTGTAATTATCATCCATAGATATGCAATAGCAATATGACCAGATAAATAGGACCAGACAACAACAAAAATCCCCTTAAAATATATAATGGGAAGAAAATTCAACACTCGCCTCTGCAAGGTAAAAACATCAAATTGGTCGAATTAGGTCACCAAATCAAATCAATTAAGCTATCAAAGTGAAGGATGCAGCTCTTTACTAGCTGCAAAGTTGAAGTTTAGCCAACGGATAATGCATCAGATGCACAAGCTAAAACAGACATTTGGACCTACTGCAATACTACTTTTTTGTTGCTAGCCAGGAATGAGGAAGGAACGGAGAGTGACAATCAATGTAAGAGAATGACATCATCGTCCTATGATGTTCTCATGTGTAATTTTTAAAGTTTGTTATTTATTTTAGTATAAAATTCATCTTCCTCTTCATCTGTATGACGATGATTTGTCTTGGATGTGCTGCACACTGTAAGACATATTATTAATAATCTTTTGGGTTTAGGGGAAGACAGATTGTGTATATTTTGTATGTTCATTCCCATGTAAGTATATTATAGATTTTTGCACTGTGAAATACTCTGACAGCTATTTTTGTTACATTCCTGTCATTCATTTTGGCTTGTGTTTGTCTCTTGCCCCCCCCTCTCAGCTCGGACTGGCATCATCTCAAAGCTGATTAAAAAAAAGCATTTTGTAAAAGCCAAATTGATTGGAGTTTTTTTTAAACCCATTCAGCACAAGAATAGACATAAAAAAGATCCTGTAGTGCTCTTTATTCGTGAGAAAATAGTAATTACAGAAACAAGCTGCAGCAGGTGTTTTCAAAGGAGAAAAAAGATAAAAGAATTTAGATGAAAATGGACAATTTGCACCACTTCATGATAAAAGGTACTTTTCATTGTTCCATTTTTTAAATGATTTAATAGGATTATGGATTACATGGGAAGTAAAATGGCTTCTTTTTCCAACCACACAAACTTTGTTTTAAAGCATTTCTGCAACAATCTCTGATGATTCAGCTACATTTTCCTCGCCAGCAAAACTATTCTTGTCGATGTTTCAGGGTTGAGAGATTTTGTATAATGAGTGCGCGGGGAAAACAAAGGAAGTCTTACTCCATTTGTGTCTTTGTGATCCCTCGGGCTTGGCAGTGCCGTACAGTCCCTTTTTTATTCTAAAGATTCAAATCACATACCAGCACCTGATGTGTGGAACAGGACAGAATCGACTGACACAGCTTGTCTCCAAGATGGACAGCTGCTCACACCCCACAACAAATTAAGGTTGTTATCGCACTAACAAGGCTGAGTTCTCCTCTTTATGTGAATATTTTTCAGCATTTCTATAGGCAGCTACTGTATAATATGCAATTTCAGGCTCTGCTGAATCCTAATGGTACAGCCAAGAGAAGAAGACGTACTGTCCTCCTGCTTCTGATAATGAAGTTAGACGGGTATGGAGCCGTTTCGTTGTTCTTCTAATATCATCCCCTGCCGACAGCATAACACCAAATTTATCAAAAGGAATCTTTAAATGAGAATATCAAATGCAAAGTCTGAAATTATATGCAAACTGCATTGCATATGAAGGCAAATATGGAGGAGTTATGCAATAATGAAGACACAATAAGAGTGATATCGCCATAGTTGTCATAGACCCTCCCGTGATTTTCTTCAGCAGATTCAATGGAATAAAGCAGAAAGTTAGAGGAAGAAGCCATAAATTGCCTCCATCTTGAGAGCATGCTTGCATGGGAAACTTCAGGAAAATGTCAGCGGCTGGCTATTTCAGGCATTTGTGAATGTTCCCTGTGAGCGACAATCTCACAGTACGCTGGGCAAATAAAAAAAACATGTCACGTGTGCTCACAACTCGGCTGTGAAAGCGATCTTGTGTGTGAAAGTGTTCCATGTCTAAATCTTCATCTGTATGTTAAGAATGTTTTGTGGTCACTTAGATCCATCATGTCTGCAGCTTGCGACCCTGACTGTTCCTATTACTATTGTTCCCTTCCCACTTCTACGCCAGGCACATTCATGTCCATGCACTCTACTGACTGAACCACTCTTTCGGTTTGGAATAATTCCAGTTGTCGAGGCCAGAGATTCATTACAACGGAGCCTCACTGCAGTAAGCACAAGAACAATGGAGAACAGACATGTTTCACTCTGTGAATTGTTTTTTCTCTGTTTGGTAACACACAGATTCTGCTGCCCCATTTTCATTCATCCACGTGTGATCGCAGCTCATCTGGATTTCTACTTGGCTGCAGTATACCCCAGCTCTCACCCCTACAGCACACAGTACCAACCCAGCTCACAGTCACGGTCCATGAGTCAACATGCCTGGAGCACTGACAGACCAAAGATTGTCGCTATGAGGCCACAGATTCTCATGTTTAACAAGCATGCCATATATACAGAGGCCTGTAAAGATAACTCGTAATTTATGCGCACAGACTACTTACTCATGCTTGATTAAAAATGTGTGCAGATGAATTAACAGAACAATTAGTTAAACTATATTGGTGATGTATGTTAAAGGGATGTCAAGAATAACAACTTTTGAGATATATCAAGAATCTCCATGCAAAATTAACTGTATTAAAACCAAGTAGCTCATTTACATTAGATTGTCCATACCGTGACAGTTTTCACTGTTGATTTTGCACAGCATCATAAGACTGTGGTAAGTAAACAATGGCAGCCAAAGTGTTATTTTAAATGTGGGTTTGGACTCAAGAACAGAGACTTGCAGCTTGAAGCTCACAAAAGGATTTTAATGATTACACAGAGGGTTATAGTGGAGTTGTGGTGGAGAGTTGGTGAGAGCGTGGCTGAACAAAAAGGTCCTGTTGCTGGCGCCTTGGTGTGGCAGGTGGTGTGGCAGGTGGTGTGGCAGACGAGAATCCCAGGCAATGAAGCAAAAAGGAGAAAACATGTTACAAAAGGTTCACTCACAAGACAAAAAAGTTCACTGGAAGTTACTTGAAAATTAACTGCGTGCTTGTTACCACTGAAATGAATATAACAATCTAGCGCTGACTGTCAGAAGCTCAGAGTATTTCAACAGGAGCTTGATTAGCAGATTGTCAGCAGCTATGCCAGAGAGCCAGGTGCCTGAGAGAGACCACACCCACACCACACATCAGAAAAGAGGCAGAAAAACCACAAAAACACTCACATGTATACTGGTTACGGTCAGACCGTGACACAAAGACAGTATTGGTGAAAAAACATCTCAGATGGTATCACAACTGTGAAAAATAAAGACGGGGAAAAAAGAGGAGAACTGACATAAAGTAATGGATTCTGATGTAATGAACCTAACAATATTACAAAGGAATGAAGCCAGAATATGTAAATACCAAAAGCTTCTAGCTTGGGTATTCAGGTGCTCCTGACCAGATTACCCACAATAGCCTGTAACTTCACTTTCTACTGTAGCATTAATGTGAAACTATTTTTCACTAAACTTTAAAAAAAATCGCTGTAACATACTCTCTATAACATACTCAATACTGTGCATATCTCTGTAGCATCTGTGGTAATAAACCAGCTAGTTTTTATGTCAGCATGCTGACATGCTTACAAAGACAATGCTAACATATGTTTAGCAGGTGCAGTACAATGTTCACAATGTTTGCTATCTTAATTTAGCATGTTAACATGCAAACAGGTTTCCCAAATTTGATATAAATCCATCCAATAATTGTCTAGACTTGCCTACCGCTGCAGGAAAACTCAATAGGCTTCATCCTCTGAGGATCGATGAACGTGTGTACCAAATATCATGGCATTCCAGCCAAAAGGTGTTGAGGTATCTCAGTCATATCAGATATATCATCAAAGCTGTGGACCGGAAAACAGGCCAACCGACAAGGCAAATATCAACTTCATCTGCTAAATGTCTTGTCATGTGTGAAGATGACCCAGAGTAGCTGACCACAAAATGTTTCTTGACTTCTTTCAGTTGTTGCTCTTGCCCGTTTCTCTGTTTGTTTGATATATCACAGGGCAGGAAATGTGTCCTAAGACCTGGATCAAAATATGTGTGTGTGTATGTATATATGTGTGATACAGTTTTCATGTATGAATGTGCAGATGCATACATGCCTGCGTATGCCTGTATGTTTGCGCCATGCCAGCTAAATTACTTTGAGCATATTACGAGAGAAACAAACCCCTACTGTGTTCAGTGCTGCAGCCTCAAAGAAAATCAAACCGTCAAAATCTCTTCTCACTCAGGGACTAATCTGCAGCACCGTCTCTGTGCTCTGCTCGCGAGAGATAGGACTTTTGAGTTGTGATGGAATTTTACTGCACTCAAAAACGGGGCAGAAGATGAAGAATATAAAAGAGAAGCTTTTCAGGATAATTTTGCAGGAGGGAAAAAAAAGTCAGTTTTTACACTCATTAGTTCATGATTAACACATTATCCCCAGAAGTATTAACTCACAAATTTCATAGAACATCATGTCATCTGTGCTGTTTTCAACATGATGCGCTCACAGCACTATTCCACATTTCAAAGGCCAAGTCAATATAATCACAAAGCCCAAAACAATCAGGATTTTTATTGGATTTTTAAATTGCACTTGAAGGTGTTTGCCTCATCAGGAAATTAGCATTCCCCAGAAGTCCATGGAAAGAGGAGTAGAGATTACCTAATAAAATAACTTGTCATTCAGGATTACAATGCAACACATAAATTATAATCTTAAATGAGCTTTGCGTTTTCAAACCCTTTGATGTATTACTGGAAGACAATGCTCGCTGTGTGATAATTATCTAGGACCTCTTGATTTAAACCCTTTGATATTGAACATAAGTGCCAAAGCAATGCCCTAAAGCAGATCACTGATCCACTTGATGATTTTTACCGCCACATTCATCTTATTTTGTAGTGAAGCAGGGGGAGGAGAAACCCGAGGCAATGTAGTGGCAGTAATTTGTAGAGTTGCAAAAATGAGAAGGAAGGAGCAACAAGGAGAATTTGCAGAAAGTATATAGACTTTTTTTTTTTACCTTCCAGGGACGACAGCAGCACTGAAGCAGATTTCATCTGCAGGTACTGAGATGTGCCATGTCACTCTTCTTCTGACCTCACCAAACTACTGTCATGCTGTCTCAAAAGCAACCCTGAAGAAAAACAGCGTATCTGTTCAGTCAGAATAGAAATCACAAGGCCAGTGGAGTTGATATCACCTTCCGAGTGCATCAACACAAAAAGAAGGGTTTCCTTTATATCTTGTTTGTCCCAAAAGCAGAGGCTGCGCAGGGCTTATAATACATCTTAGGAGATAACAGTCTCACTCATGTCATACTAATAGCACTTGTTCCCTCATTATACACTAATGGGATTTGTGAGGCAAATTATTAATTATGTGGGCCCTTGATAGAGTACATGCTGGGGCGGTGGAGAGGCTTTCCATGTAACAACAATTTATTTCCACCCTTCCTTCATTTGGTGCTCAGACTCACATGTTTGCTGTGTTATTTTGTGATGTTTGTTTGTTTCTGTGTAGGTTCCTTCCTGCCAGCTATTTCAGCACGCAATTATTCACAGTGTCAAAATAATTCCTCAAATAACGCAATCTTCTCTATCCTAGGGAGGCAGAACACGTCAGCACACTTTTGCTCGTTTGTCTGCTTGTATATTGGCAGAGTGTTGAACACATTAACAAATGTATTCCTTGCTGACAT